CTATATCTATTCCTGATCCTTGTTAGACTGGAAAGCGGTCTTGATGTAGACCCTAAGAGAGGGTTCTTGGGCCTCACATAAGAAAGAATTTGGGGCGAGTCCATAAAGTGAAAGTAAGCTTTTTAAGAAAGCAGAGGAACAAGCTGGGTGCAGTGGTTTATGCCTGTAATCCCAGCACTTTGGGAGGCCGAGGTGGGCACATCACTTGGTCAGGAGTTCGAAACCAGCTTGGCCAACATGGTGAAACCCTGTCTCTACTAGAAATATAAAAATTAGCCAGGGGTGGCAGTGTGCACCTGTAATCCCAGCTACTCAGGAGGCTGAGGCAGGAGAATTGCTTGAACCCAGGAGGTGGAGGTTGCAGTGAGCCGAGATCGCACCACTACACTCATCAGGGCAACAGAGCAAGACTCCATCTCAAATAATAATAATTATCACCATCATCATAAATAATAGAAAAAAGTAAAGGAATAAAAGAATGACTTTGCCAGGCTGGGCACGGTGGCTCATGCCTGTAATCCCAGCACTTTGGGGGGCCGAGGTGAGCAGAGTTAGAGGTCAGGAGTTAGAGGCCAGCCTGGCCATCATGGTGAAACCCCGTCTCTGCTAAAAATAAAAAAAAATTAGGCCAGGCACAGTGGCTTCTGCCTGTAATCCCAGCACTTTGGGAGACAGATCACCTGAGGTCAAAAGCTCAAGACCAGCCTGGCCAACATAGTGAAACCCCGTCTCCTTTTTCTTTTTTTAAAAAAAATTGTTTTTAAATTTTCTTATTTTGACAGCAAACCAAATACCGTGAAACCCTGTCTCTACTAAAAATATAAAAATTGGCCAGGCATGGTGGCACGCACCTATAGTCCCAGCTACTTGGGAGGCTGAGTCAGGAGAATCGCTTGAACCTGGGAGGCGGAGGTTGCAGGCAACCCAGATTGTGCCACTGCACTCCAGGCTGAGTGACAGAGTGAGAGACTCTGTCTCAAAAAAATAAAAAAGTAAAAATTAGCCAGGCGTGATGGTGGGTTCCTATAATTCTAGCTACTCAGGAGGCGAAGCAGAAGAATCACTTGAACCCAGGAGGCAGTGGGTGCAGTGAGCTGAGATCGCGCCACTGCACTGCATCCGGGTGACAGAGTGAGACTGTCTCATAAAATATAACAACAATAATAAATAAAAAATAACAAAAAGTAAAGGAATAAAAGAATGACTACTCCACAGGCAGAGCAGCAGCATGGGCTGCTGGGCTTATACTTATAGTTTACTTCTTGGTTCTGTACTAAACAAGGGGTGGATTTTTCATGAGTTTCCCAGGAAAGTGGAGGGCAATTACCGGAACCAAGGTATCCTCCCCTTTCTGGCCATATAGGGTAACTTCCTGAGGTTGCCGTGGCATCTATAAACTGTCATAGCACCAGTAAGAGTGTCTTTTAGCATGCTAAGGCATTATAATTAGTGCTTAATGAGCAGTAAGGACAGGCAGAGGTCACGTTCATCACCATTGCGATTTTGGCTGGCTTCTTTACCTACTGCATCATGTTTTATCAACAGGGGTTTTGTGACCTGTATCTTCTGATAGCAAACCTCCTGACCTGTGACTGAGAATGCCCAGCCTCCTAGGAATGCAGCCCAGCACTTCTCAGCCTCATTTTACCCAGCCCCTGTTCAAGATGGAGTCGCTCTGGTTCAAACGCTTCTGATCCTTGTACCGTAGCACCGACTTGATCAATTTATCCTACCGTGAAAGGAAAATAAATCTCGGGACCCCAAGATCACTAAGCCAATGAGAAAAGTCAGGCTGAGGATTGCATCAGACAAACCTGCCTCCTATCTTATTCTTCAATAAGATAGCTAGAAAGTTAAAAAGCGCTACATACCTCCCTCACAATTTGTCCACAAGGAAATTCCTTTTGGGTCTCAAGATTTTTGCCCTAAAACAGCTCTGATGAATTTTACCCTGGCAATGTAAATTGACAGCTTATCTTCACAGGTACCAAGCAGGAAGTCATCCCTCTGCTCACTGAAGACAAATGTGTATCTGATTGCTTCCTCTGCTCTACTATTTATACAAAAATGCAGATTCACTGAGCCAGACAGTGACTAAGGCGTAAGTGACTATTCCTCTGCCTCCCCTCACATGTAAATTGTGTATTCAGTGAAAGGCTGATCATAGACTCAAAAAATGCAACCTTCTGGCCGGGCACAGTGGCTCACGCCTATAATCCCAGCACTTTGGGAGGCTGAAGCAGGTGGATCACCTGAGGTCATGGGTTTGAGAGCAGTCTGGGCAACATGGCGAAATCCCGTCTTTACTAAAAATACAAAAATTAGCCTGGAGTGGTGGCATACACCTGTAGTCCCAGCTACTCAGGAGGCTGAGAAAGGATAATCGCTTGAACCCAGAAGGTGGAGGTTGCAGTAAGCTGAGGTCTCACCACTGCACGGCAGCTTGGATGACAGAGTGAGACTCTCTGAGACTCTCTGTCTCTCAAAAAAAAAAAAAAAAAAAAAGAACTTAGGGTATGGGGACATGGATCCCCAGCCCCTGAATTCAGGAAACTATACTGAACTTTGTCAGCACACATGAAAAATGCAAAGGGCCACAGAAAGCTCCTAATTCAATGTCTCTTTTAATATGGAAACTAAAGCTAAAGAGGTGATAAATGGCTACAGAGTGTCATAGGCAGAACAGAACCCAGGGCTCCCTGCCTCCAGGCTGTTTCTGCAGCAGTCTAGTGACCACTCATCATCCTTCTACTAACAGCACCCTAATCTTCCTCTGATGAAACACCCCCTGTGCCTGGTTGAGCCCTTCAGGTGGGCTTTGCCCACATCTCCAGATGAAGTCCACAAATGTCAATCCCTCAGGCCCAAGCTAAATTCAAGGTTAGACACAGGACTCCACAGAGCCACCCAGGGTGAACAGGAGGCTTTTCTTCCACTGGAGCTGGCCTATGTGGGGCTCCCCAAGACATGAAGGCCCAGGAAAAGCCTGTCTGCATCCCCAGAAATGAGAGAGAACTGACGGATGTGTGTGTGGGGGGAAGGGTCACCAAGTCCAACCAGGTGACATTGCTTAGCCTCAGTGCCAGGCTAATTGGCCTTTCATCAGAAGCCCTTTTCTTTTTGAGAAGGAGTTTTACTCTTGTTGCCCAGGCTAGAGTGCAGGGTTCAAGTGATTCTCCTACCTCAGCCTCCCAAGTAGCTGGGATTACAGGTATGTGCACCAAGCCCGGCTAATTTTGTATTTTTACTAGAGATGGGGTTTCACCATCTTGGCCAGACTGGTCTCCAACTCCTGACCTCAAGTGATCCGCCCACCTTGGCCTCCCAAAGTGCTGGGATTACAAGCGTGAACCACCGCGCCTGGCCCAGACAGCTTTCTTTTTTCTCCTTTCTCTATCCTAACCTTGCCAGTTTTCTCCCAGGTGGGATACAGTGGTTTCAAATCGCAGCTCCATCGCTTACAACATGAGTGGTTCCACCTCTGAGCCTGTGTCCTCATCTGTAAAGTGGGAATGACACTGCCAGCTCTTTGGGTTGCTGGGAGGATGAAATGAGAAGGCCCAAGTAAAGCACTTATATCAGTGCCCAGCACATAGCAGGCACACACATATTATTATTAATATATTAGGCCAGCTTGCACTAGGTGTTGTCACTGGCAATAGAGTTTGAGCAATCCAGGGCCTGTTATTGACACCACAGCATGCTATAGTCACAAAATCACATGTGCTTCCAGGAATCCTCCCAAAAGAGTAAAGCTTTAAGTGTAGTTCTGGGGGTTCAGTCAGGATGGTGGGAGAGACTGTACAATTATAATAGTCACAAACCTTCTTGGAAGGCCGGAAGGTTTTTGCAAAAGCCTTGGGAAGAAGGTTATAGATAAAGGCAGCCTAATCCCCTTTCCTTGTGCAAATAACATAAAGTAGGCCAGGTGCGGTGGCTCATTCCTGTAAACCCTCCACTTTGGGAGGCTGTGAGGGGCAGATCGCAAGGTCAGGAGATCGAGACCATCCTGGCTAACACAGTGACACTCCGTCTTTACTAAAAATACAAAAAATTAGCCAGGGGTGGTGATGGGTGCCTATAGTTCCAGTTACTTGGGAGGCTGAGGCAGGAGAATCGCTTGAAACCAGGAGGCAGAGGTTGCAGTAAGCTGAGATCGCGCCACTGCACTCCAGCCGGGGCAACAAGAGACTCCATCTCAAAAATAAAATAAAATAAAATAATAACATAGATACAAAGGAATGTAAACGAGTTTATCTAAGTTGTTTACTCATGTGGTCCTAAAACTAACCTTTAATCATTCGCGGGACGGATGGCTCTCTGTAGGGCGGGCAACCAGGTTTGTTACCAACAAATGATGATTGCTTTAGGTCTCAAACCTGGCCACATTATTCGCAGGTGTGTTGACTCAGAGCCTCTGTTACTAAATCTATACTGAATAAATGCCTGGAGTGCCAGCTGGTCAGGGTCGGCGCCTGCTAACTCTCTTTGCAGTATCTGTGGCCATGGACCCCTAGCCTGCTCTTTCACTGTATTCTATGTTTGAGTGCATTTGTTCATCCGTCGCTGGCTCAGGGTCCGCAGGCCGGACCCCGACATGTAGTGTGTGCTCAACGACTACGTCTCAATTCGATGGAGACCGGGAAGACACCCGTTCCCTGCGTCCTCTCCACGCCACACACCGGGCGCCCACACGCAGCTCCTCAGGTCGCCGCAGCGCCGCATACCCAGGTACCCTCCCGGCCACCCCTTCTCCTCGCCTGCGGGCCGTGTCCATACCGCCTTCTCCACTCCTGCAGGCCGTATCCGGGAGGGCGACCGAGCGGTCCGCGGGCTAGCGCCGCCAGAGAAAACGCCGGAACTCGCTTCAGCCGACTCGGGCCTCTTGACCCGGCGCGACCCCGGAAGTGGGCGGGCGCGCGACCTCGAAGCCTCTGACGCGGCGTGCCGCAGCCAGTCGCACGCCCAGGCCGCAGCGCCCCGGCGAGGCTGGCCAATGGGCGCGGGGCCTGATGCCGCTTCCGGCCCGCCCTCTTGCCCGGGCCCCTGGAGGGGAGGCCCGGTTATAGGCAGCCAAGGAGTCAAAGATCGCGACTCCGCCTCGCCCGGCGCCGGCCCAGGTGAGTGCAGCGCGGCGCCCCGGCTGCAGCGGCGGCCAGAGCCGTGGGATAGGTTGGGGCGAGGAAGGGCTGGGCGCGCCGCCTCCCCCACCACCCCCAGGCTGTGTTTGCCTGAACACTCACGGGGAGGGAGGAAGGAGGGACAACACTTGTCCTTTCACCTGCACACCTGGAGAGTGCCGCCCCCGTCCCGTGCCCTGGAACGCCCACAGGCTAGCGCAGTGGCCAAGCAGGCGACGCTCCCACTCCAGCCTTTGGACTGGAGCCGTAGGAGAAGCGGATCGCTGGATCCTGGTTGTTTTCGAGAATCACGCAGCAAGGGGCCTGCCTAGCCCTCTCCCTGGGCATTGATAGGAGCAAATCTGCTTGTCATGAGATTAGTTTCGGCAGATGGTCAGGGCCCGGAGCTTCAACATATGCTATTGGTGGCGTTGCTGGGGCCCCACCTGTCACCCAAGTGTACAGAACTGGCTGAGGGCCAGGCAGACTCAGGACACCTCCTGCCCAGCTGGGCTGGGCGGACCCTATTCTTCAGGAAAGAATCACCTACCATGCAAAGTCTGCTGCTGCTTCCCACCTTTAGGACCGCGATGTCGATTTTGAGCAGCCCCTGCACCTTGCAGCCAGCGAGCTACGGTAGTAGGCATTGCCGACTCTGTTTGCACACCGGCTGGGAGTGACAGTGTAATAGAAAAGCAAGAAACCTTTTAGGAAGGACTTCTAAGGCTCAGAGGAAGTAAGTGCTTGGGGAGTGTTCTTGGGACCTCGCCTTTTCCTTCACCACATTTCTGTCCCCGCTTATCTTGGGTGCTTTTTTTGGTCTCTGAAAGGATCTCTGAATAAATCGTTACAGAAAGGCAGATGGCTTTGGGGGAATGAGCAGACCTTCTTCATGGAACAACTGAAGGTTAACTCACATTCATTCTGTAGAAATTCTTGGTGAATTAGAGCCTGCTGATTTGGAAGATTTTCCTCTGTCCCTCCAACCCTGCAAAACAAAGAAGTCCCAGGATCCCTGAATCATGGGACTTCATGCTCCAACCCCCCTTTCAAGAGTACTCTGACCCAGTGACACTGCACAAGTTGCCTGATCAGCTCAGAGGCAGAAAGTGGCCCATGAGGAGCTACGGGGAGCCTCCTGGCAGAGGCAGAAAGAAAGTGTGGCTGACCAAGCATGTTTACCAGATGTCAACTTTAGCTGGGAAGTGATGGGTCACTGGGTCTCCACTCTAAAGGGAGTTTGTAAATACAACAACCCCCACCCCTTCCTTTCACTGTAGCAGAGTCTCCTTCCATTAACTGACCCGAAGGTTCAATTGTGTCTATGAGGAAATGAATGCTTAGTCATTTCTCTGAAGGAAATTCAAAGTCTCCTTTCATTGAGCTCAACCTGCAGGCTGAGTCTAACTAAACTGCTTGCTTATCCAGTGAATTCTGAGCTATCTTTGTTTTTTTGTTGTTGTTGTCATTTGTTTTCCTCTTTGAGACAGGGTCTCCCTCTGCTGCCCAGGCTGGAGTGCAATGGCACAATCATAGCTCATTGTATCCTCAAACTCCTGGGCTCAAGTGATCCTCCTGCCTCAGCCTCCCAAGTAGCTAGATCACAGGCACAAGACACCATACGCAGCTAATTTTTCTTTCTTTTAACTTTTTATTTTTGCAGAGACGGGGTCTCCCTGTGTTGCTTAGGTTGGTCTTGAATTCTTGGGCTCAAGCGATCCTCCCACCTCAGCCTAGAATCTCAGCTGGGATTCTAGGCATGAGCCACCGCTCCCGGCCTCTGAGCTGCTTTTGAAGACTAACACATTTAACACTATAGAAAGTGACAATTAAAAAAAAAAAAAAAAACCCTCATCTTCCCCCAGCATTTTATTGAAGATTTTCACACATACAGCCAAGTTGAAAGAATTATACAGTCAGCATCCTCATCCCACCAGCTAGATTCTACTATTGACGCTTTACTTGCCTTATCACGTATCTGTCCACCAATCATGACCTTACTTTTTAAGTTATTTATTTATAGTATTTGTTTTCCCCTGGAGAAGTATTTCTGTCTCAGATCAGGGGGTTGGCAGTGTGTTGCAAGTCAGTGGTGATTATCCTTAAATGTTGTTTCAACACCCACTGTGTACAGAGATTTTTATGGAAATGAAGAGGCCTAAGATAGACCAGATAGGGACTTGGTTTTGTTTTTCTGGTTTTTTTTTGTTTTTGTTTTTATTTTTATTTTTTGAGACAGGGTTTTGCTCCCTAGGCTGGAGTACTGTCTCTCGATCTCAGCTCTCTGTAGCCTCGACCTCCCAGGCTCAAGTGATCCTCCCATCTCAGCCTCCCAAGTAGCTGGGCCTACAGGAGCACACTATCATACCCAGCTAATTTTTGCATTTTTTGTAGAGACAGGGTTTCGCCGTGTTGCCCAGGCTGATCTCGAACCCCTAGGCTAAAGGGATCCAGCCACCTCAGCCTCCCAGAGTGCTGGGTTTACAGACATGAGCCACTGCACCCAGCTGATTTTTAATTTTTTAAGAGATGGAAAATAAACTGCAGTCTGTGACAAGAAGTGGCAACTAACAATGCCAAATAGAAAGTAAATAATACCAAGTAAAAATGCCAAGCGACATCAATAGTAGTCATTGAATTCTTGCTGGGTACTGAACACTTTATTAAAAGCTCTGTGGCCATATTATCTCATTTAATTCTCATAACAAATAGGTATGTATGTTACTATCCCATTCTGCCTTTTTTATTTTTTTTAGATGGAATTTCACTCTTGTCACCCAGGCTAGAGAGCAGTGGCACAATCTTGGCTCACTGCACCCTATGGCTCCTGAGTTCAAGCAATTCTCCTGTCTCAGCCTTCTGAGTAGCTGGGACTACGGGCCCATGCCACCACGCCTAGGTAATTTTTATATTTTTAGTAGAGACGGGGTTTCACCATGTTGCCCAGGCTGATCTCAAACTCCTGACCTCAAGCGATCCACCCGCCTAGGCCTCCCAAGATGCTGGGATTACAGGCATGAGCCACCATGCCCAGCCCCATTCTGCCTTGTATAGGTTAGGAAGTTAAGGCACAGAGCCGTTAGTTAGCTTCTGGTGGTGTGCGAAAGTGAGGATACCAGAATGCAGCATTCTGAGATCCAGGCAGCTGTGAACTCTCTTAGTCACTGTGAAGATGCCAGAGGGACCCTCAGGCCTGATTAGTGAGGCACGAAGGGGTAACTGGAGGTCACCAGGGGTCCCAACTCAGGCCCCTGGACACAGATGCCAGTTTCAAATGGTGCCAGAAGGCTGGTGTTCCGATATTCGTATGTTTGACGGGCCTTGGTGCCCTGGGGTGGCCACTCTGCGAGGGGTTGTTACTGCTTGTGCTCACTCCATTCTGCTGGGCGTCTCCCTCCTGTTTTTCTCCTCCCCTTCCTGTTACGGGAATTTCCCAGAGCTGAGCTTTTGTTCTGCTTCCTATCTTCCCGTTTCTCATCCTCTCTCTCACATCCTTCTCAGCCTGCATTCTGTCTGCTTGGTGTTTGTAAGATATGTCTTGTCCTGGCCAGAGGTGGGGCCTCACACCTGTAATCCCACCACTTTGGGAGGCTGAGGTGGATGGATCACCGGAGGTCAGGAGTTCGAGACCAGCCTGGCCAACATGGCGAAACCCTGTCTCTAAAAATACAAAAATGGGCCAGATGTGGTGCTGCGAAGGTCTGTCAGCTACTTGGGAGGCTGAGGTAGGAGAATCACTTGAACCCAGAAGGCGGAAGTTGCAGTGAGCCGAGGTGGCACCATCATGCCAGCCTAGGAAACAGAGGAAGACTCTGTCTCAAAAAAAAAAAAAAAAAAAAAAGATAAACCTTTTACCCAAAGAATCAATTTTCTTTTTTTTGAGACAGAGTCTCACTTTGTCGCCCAGACTGTAGTGCAGTGGCTTGGCTAGAATTACAGGTATGTGCCACTGCACTCGGCTAATTTTTGCATTTTTTTAGTAGAGACAGGGTCTCACCATGTGGGCCACACTGGTCTGGAACTTGGCCTCAGGTGATCCATCCACCTCAACCTCCCAGTGCTGGGATCACAGGTGAGAGCCACTGTGCCTAGCCTTTTTTTTTTTTTTTTTTTTTTTGGTGGGTGGCAGCTGCTCTATTTTCAGATGTACTTCTGTCTCATGCCATCGTCACAGTCACCCAGCCATCTGGAGCACCCGCATGGCTCTGGCATGCTGCAGGAACGCAGGCCCAGCCTCCAGGCACCTAAATAAACCCTGCCTGTCTCCTATTGCTCTGGTTTTTAAGTCAGACTGGTTGTGTCTTCATCTGTAGGTACTTTCCTCTCTTCAGGCCCCGGGGCAGTGTCCTGGGTTGGATCTGGGAGCCGTCCTGTTGGGCAGAGCTTCTCCTGCGACGGCCCCTGTGGCTTCATCCTGTAGCTCTGTGTTTGGCTACGTTGCATCTAGCCATGTGGCCCTGCCACAGTGTAAAGACTGTTCCTACCAGGAGTCAGGGCCCCAGGAAGGGCACCCATGAGAGCAACAGCACTATTGGCCTTGGAGGTGGGGCCAGGCATGGCCAGTGGCAGAGCTTAGAATAGCCTTGGCTATGCCTGCAAAGCACAGAGAAGGAGGAAAGAAAAAGCTGGGTGCATTGGCTCACACCTGTAATCCCAGCGCTTCAGGAGGCCAAGGTGGGAGGATTACTTGAGGCCAGGAGTTCCAGACCAGCCTGGGCAACCTAGCAAGAGCCCATCTCTACAAAAAAATTTAAAAATTAGCCAGGTATAGTGGCACATGCCTGTAGTCCCATCCACACAGGAGGCTGAGGCAGGAGGATGGCTTGAGCTCAGGAGTTCAAGGCTATAGTGAGCTATGACTGCACCACTGCACTCTAGCATGAGCAACAGAGCAAGACCCTCTCTCTAAAAAATAAAAGTAAAAGAGAAGAAAAGAAGAAAGAAAGGAGTAGAGAATGGCAGAAGAAGAGAGCCTGGGGAAGAGGAGGGAGTCACTGAGGGGGCATAAAGAGAATACCTCTATGTCCTTAAATTCACATGGTCACATTGGCTATGGCTAGAATGCCAGGCCTGTGTAAATGCCCTCAGCATGCCCAGATAGAGGTCAACATAGGGGAAGGAGACCTGCCCACTGGGGAAAGGGCGCCTGGGGAGGCAGTGGGGTAGTTAAATCTTTTGAGATTTGACTAAATCTGTAAGCTTTCATTGATTCTTTTGAAAACAAAGATCTGGCCAGGTGTGGTGACTCAAGTCTGGGAGGTGACTCAAGATCTGGCCAGCCGTTTGAGAGGCCAAGATGGAAGGATTGCTTGAGGTCAGGAGTTTGAGACCAGCTTGGGCAACATAGTGAGAGTCTGTCTCTACAAAAGATTTTTTAGAATTAGCTGGGTATGGTGGCGCATGCCTATTGTCCCAGCTACTCGGAAGGCTGAAGCAGAAGGATCACTAGAGCCCAGGAGTTCAAGGCCACAACGAGCTGTGATCAAACCACTGCACTCTAGCCTGGGCATCCAAGTGAGACCCTCTCTCTACTTTTTAAATTCTTTTTTCTCAGACAGAGTCTTACTCTGTTGCCCAGGCTGCAGTGGAGTGGCACTGTCTCGGCTCACTGCAACCTCCATCTCCCGGGTTCAAGCCATTCTCCTGCCTCAGCCTCCTGAGTAGCTGAGACTACAGGCATGCACCACCATGCCTAGCTAATTTTTGTATTTTTAGTAGTAGAGATGAGGTTTGACCATGTTGGCCAGGCTGGTCTTGAACTCCTGACCTCAAGTGATATATTTTTTAAAATTCTTTCAAAAACAAAGAAGAGGCCAGGTACGGTGGTTCACACCTGTAATCCCAGCACTTTGGGTGGCCAAGGCAGGAGGATCACCTGAGATCAGGAGTTTGAGACCAGCTTGGCCAAATGGTGAAATCACATCTCTACTAAAAATACAAAAATTAGCCAGGCATGGTAGTGTGCACCTGTAGTCCCAGCTACTGGGGGAGCTGAGGCAGGAGAATCATTTGAGGTTACAGTGGACGTTACAGTGAGCAGAGATTGCACCGTTGCACTCCACTCTGGATGATAGAGCAAGACTCTGTCTCCTAAAAAAATTTAAAAATTAAAATAAATTAACAAAAGCACAAGTAATAGTCACATTAGAAGTCTCCATGGTTAGGCCGGGCACAGTGACTCACGCCTGTAATCCCAGCACTTTGGGAGTCCGAGGTGGGAGGATCACCTGAGGTCGGGAGTTTGAGACCAACCTGACCAACATGGAGAAACCCTATCTCTAAAAAATAATAATAATAATAATGTTTCTAAAAATAATAGTAATAAAAAGAAGCCTTGAATGCCTAACCTCAAGTGATCTATTTTTTAAAATTCTTTCAAAAACAAAGAAGAGGCCGTGTACGGTGGTTCACGCCTGTAATCCCAGCACTTTGGGAGGCCAAGGCAGGAGAATCACTTGACTCTGATGTCCCTGGGCTGGGATCTGTGGTTTCACTTGACTCTGATTTCCCCTGGGCTGGGATCCTGGATACTGACCCTCATCCTCCTGCCACAGGCTACCTCTAGCTGCCACCATGCCCAACTCAGTACTGTGGGCAGTGGACCTCTTCGGGAGAGTGTACACGCTGTCCACAGCTGGCCAGTACTGGGAGCTGTGCAAGGACGCCCAGCTGGAGTTCAAGCGTGTTAGCGCCACCACGCAGTGCTGCTGGGGCATTGCCTGTGACAACCAGGTCTACGTGTACGTGTGTGCCAGCGATGTCCCCATCCGCCGCCGTGAGGAGGCCTATGAGAATCAGGTAGCGTCCCTCATGGTTAGAGTTGCTGAGTGGGTCATTTTGCTGGGTTATTGGTTAAAATGATGAACCACAGTCCGGGCGTGGTGGCTCACACCTGTAATTCCAGCACTTTGGGAGGCCAAGGCAGGCGGATCATGAGGTCAGGAGTTCGAGACCAGCCTGGCCAATATGGTGAAACCTCGTCTCCACTAAAAATACAAAAATTAGCTGGGCGTGGTAACATGCACCTGTAGTCCCAACTACTCAGGAGGCTGAGGTGGGAGGATCGCTTGAGCCTGGGAGATCAAGGCTGCAGTAAGCAATAATCCTGCCCAGCACTCCAGCCTGGGCAACAGAGCAAGACCCTGTCCTCCTGTGTCCCCTGAAAAAATCCAAGTTGCAGAGCATCCAGGGTCTTTGAGGCTGAAGCCACCATTGTGTCCTTACCAAAGCAGGCTGGCCAGGTCCTCAGCAGGACAGGCTCCAGTGGTTTCCGGGAGCCCAGGACAAGGTGTGCCCTCCAATGTCTGGCAGGGGGGTTCTTTGCCCTTTGGGGCCGTGCTGATGTATTTGCTGGCTCGTGATGAAGAGGCATGGGGGTCCCCAGTCACTGGATCCCCTGTAGGCTCTCTGCTCACTTCCTATTCTGGAGATCAATGAGGGGGCCTGGTCAGGGTCAGCTGGCCCTGGAGATGCCCGGCCTGCCTGGGTTCCCAGCCAGCAGGCTTGGGTCGAAGGCCACCCCTATGTCCCTGGCCTTCAGCGCTGGAATCCCGTGGGCGGCTTCTGTGAGAAGCTCCTGCTGAGTGACCGCTGGCTGTGGAGTGACGTGAGTGGGCTCCAGCACCGGCCGCTGGATGGGGTGGCTCTGCCCTCGCCGCACTGGGAGTGGGAGTCCGACTGGTACGTGGATGAGAACTTTGGAGGGGAACCCACCGAGAAAGGGGTAGGTGAACTTGGTACCCCCCGTGACTGCCCTGTGGGGAGGGGGCTCCTGGGACCCCACCTGTCCCCACCATGTTTCTGTCCCTGCACCCTGTGGTGCCTGAGCTCTGCTTGCTGTGGCGGGATGGGAGCTTGGGTGCTTCAGGCCGCGCCCTCCCTCCCCACCTTCCCCAGCTCTTCAAATGCCTTCCCCGCAGAGCCTGAGAGCCCCTGCCTTGGTGTTTCAGGGGTGGACGTACGCCATCGACTTTCCCGCCACCTACACGAGGGACAAGAAGTGGAATTCTTGTGTGCGGCGCCGGAAGTGGATCCGGTACAGGAGATACAAGTCCCGGGACATCTGGGCCAAGGTCTTTGTGCCTGAATGTGGTTTGGGGGCAGGACAGGGCCAGGACAGACTGTCACATACAGCCTCCTCTCCACCGTTCCCACCTGCGCACCAGGGGACACCACACCCATCCCAGGACCTGGCCTGTGAGCTGTTTCCTGTCCCAGGAACACCACAGCACTGCATGTCCCTTTACTTGGGAGATGGTCATCCAGAGAGCCAGGCCAGGCCCAGGACAGCACATAACCTGCCCTGACCCTGGTGTTCAAGCTGCTCTGTCCCCAGCCAAGCCTCTGTCTGGCACTTTGTCCTCCCCCTCAGCCAAGGGAGGCAC